AAGGATTGCTATTATTTTAATTGCCTGCCAGGTTTCCGGAGAACTACCTTTTTCAGAATATTACAGAGATAAATATATATTTATTACACATTAAGGGTACGTATCAAATCCAGACGTGTTGTTAAAACAACGCTGGGAAACCGATGCTCCCACCACTGTCCGAAGCAGAATTTTTTTTTCTTTGCTGTTTGCCCCTCCCTCAAAACTGCAACCTGCTTTCTATAGAAATTTGCATTACCATTTACTTTTATGCAGCGTGTTTGTCCAACCGCGGTTTTGCTATCTCAATTTCCTGTGCAATTTAATGCGAAGAACGTGGTTTTGTAAGTAACATCTGTTCGCTCCTCTCTCCCTCTCCCCCTTTCCCCCCTCTACCCCCATCCCCCACGTATGCCACTCTCAAAACAAAACCATCAATTGGTTTCACTATGAGTTTCTGCCTGATGCTAAATAATAATAATCCTTGCATTTGCTGCAGCGCCTTTCACGTCGTAAAATTCTCCCAAAGCGCATCACAGGATATACTGTAAAGTGTAGTGACTGTGTGTTTTGCGGGGGGCGGGGGATTGCAGAGCCTGGCGAGCGAGAGAGAGGACGGGGGCTGCAGAGAATGAACAAAAACCGGCAGTGCTGGAGATGGGACCCAAAATGCCTGAAGTCCTGACGAGGAATAATATTTCCGTGGGTTCAAGTCGCGTTCAAATTCTTAATGGCATCGTAAAGTCTGCAGCGATTAGAAGGATTTAAGATATGTCAATATCTGTTATCAAATGGGAATTGATGTGTGTGTGTGTGTGTGTGTGTGTGTGCGTCAGTAATCTAATCAGGGAATAGAGAGAGAGAGAGAGAGAGACGGAGGAGAGCGGGGAAGATCCTGATTACAGCCCTGGGCGGCTTAATGATTGCTCCTCGGGTTAACACACCGGGATTTCCACGCGGAGGTGGGAGGCGCGGAAATCTCAGCTCGGTTCGGATACTCTTAAGCAACGGCGATGGGTTTCCACGTGCGTCAGGACACCCTCCCGGCTGCCCCTACTCTCCCCCACCCCACCCCACAACACGCAAAAAAAAGTAGTCTCTGCGTGCAGTTTCCGGCAGTATTCACCGCCATCTGCTCGCAGAAGTTCCTCCTAAGCTCCCCATCGCTGGCGCTATAACGACGTCCTCGAGTTTCTGTTTTGCTTTTACGACTCTCATTTTTTTTTGTGTGTGTGTGAGTGTGTGCGTGTGCGTGTGTGTGCGCTGCTGACGGAGAAGAAATTCCAGCTTGGCTTTCAAAAGGGAAAGGCGGAAAAGAAAAAAAAGAAAGAAAGAAAGAAAGAAAGAAACCCCTGCGAGTTGAGTTTGTTGCTGGACAAGTGTTATTCGCAGAGGAACAGGAAACGAACCGTGCTTCCTAGAATTGTTATGAGGAAGTAGTTTTTGTGTGTGTGTGTGTGTGTCCACTGCTTCTGTTTCCGCCCGGTGCACGAGAATTGCTTTTGGTTAATAGCTCTTCGGGTTATTTCAGGTCAATGAGTCTTTCTCTCTCTCTCTCTCTCTTTCCCTCTCTCTTTCTTTCTATCCACCTTTCTCTCTCTTTCTTCCGCTCCACGCTCAACTTGCTTCCTGCGATATCTCCCTCCCGCGAGCAAATCATCGTGGCCGGCGCCTTCGGCCAGCCAGCACTTGCGGTGGCTCCGCTTCGAGGCGTCTCGAAGACTCGATGAGGGGCCGTTGCCCGGGAGTATAATGATTATTATTATTATTAATATTGTTACCGTCTTAAAAAATAAGTAGCGCGTTTCGCAACGCTGCGCTCAAATTGGCGGCTGGATTCACCTGCGGAGTCAGGCACTGCACTTTACGGTGAATCCTGCGAGCAATTTGTCGCTGTTCGTATGTCCGCTCCCTCCGCTCTGCGGGCACCAGCCCGCGACACGTCCCCACCGTCGGTGGTGGGACCTTTCAAGCCTCTCTGCCTCCACCCAAGGCTGCTTGACCCACCGGTCGTCATGCACAGGATGGACCCAGTTGTTCCATCCCACGGTTTCTCCACCTTCGCTCCTTCCCTCGACCGCTTCAAGGGAGGATCTCGAGACCCTCCTCTTCGACAGCGCCTTCGGTCACCCTCCAACCCTCTCCTGAATCCCAAAACCCCCAGCTCGGGTCCAAACCCCTGATTGTCCAGCGCCTCGGGACGTCCTCCTGACGCGAAAGGCGTTGTACAAGTGTATGTTGTTTTGTCGCAGTCGTTGAATCGTCGGTAGTGCTCTGGCCTCCGAGCCAGAAGGCTGAGGGTTCAAGCCCCACGTTGTGGATCGCGCGGCGCTTCTTGAAAAGAAAAGTTTTTTTTTTTTCTCTCTCCCTCTCCCGGAGTCCTGGCCGACAATCCCCAAAACCCTCCCCACCCTCAACACCAAGTAAAATCGGCTGTCGCGTTTCGCCCACCAAACGCACAGTCGCCGCACTTTCTGAGGCTTTGCCGTGAATCCTGCGGAGGGCTTTGAGGCGTCTCGCAGACGCGAGAGGCGCTACGTCAAAGGCGAAGCAGCTGCTGGATTTTATTTGTTATGGGACGAGGGACAGGGCGGGCTGTGAGGAGGCAAAAAGGAGGGGGAGGCACAGGGAGTGGTGGAGAGGTCCGAAAAGATTTTCGCTGTCGAGTAAAAGCCCCTGACCTCGTGAAGCAGGAGGTATTGAGTTGAGGGGTCTGTCTATCCGACGTGACTGTGCGGTAGGGCAGAAGCTGCATCCAGTCATGATTAGTTCTCTAAACGAGCCCATTATGTCAAGGCTGATGACAATGTGTGATGGTTGCATAATCCCCCTCTCTCTCTCTCTCTCTCTCTCTCTCTCGCTGTCTCTCTCCCTCCTCCACTCTGGCAATGCTACGCTTGAGGAGAGCTATATTTTGCACTCTGCGATGCACGAGCTTGACGTCACTCATTGCAGGGCCTTGTGGGGTTAGAGGGACATCCTTCCCCCTTCCACCCTCCCCTCCCCTCCCCGCCCGCTTACGCAACTTAATCTTTGTGCATCTGCTCGGCTTGTAATTATTTTATCCACCTACACGTTGTGTTGCCTTGCGTGCGTGCACTTTCGCTGAAAGTGGCTGGTATTTAAAGCAGGACGCCTACCTTATTACGAAGCCGTAGGCATTCGCAGCTCCCATTCTTAGATTTAACCAATTTCGCTCTCGTAATAAAAAGAAATGGGGGGAGTCCTATAGCGCTTTGGTTAGAGCGCTCACGCCACACGCCTCTGTTTACCTCGCGGTAAGTAGGAACCCGGCTGGTGGTCGATTGGCAGATCGCTTTTCCGAGGGGCGATAATCCCCTCGTCAATAAGTGACTCAGAGTAAAAGAAGAACAATAAGTTGGTCGCTCAATCCACGACTGTTTGCGGGGACGGTGCTGTGCGCAATTGGCGTTTCGCCCACAAAAGATACGGTCAATTCACTTTACAGTGTATTCTGTGAAGCGCTTTGAGATGACTCAAAGACGTGATAAGGCGCCGTATGAAATACAAAGATTATTATTATTATTATATTTCCCGTCACTGGGGTATGTGTCACTGAGCCTGACTTTTGCAGTTTAGCATTGTCCCAACAACAATGTCACTGAGATGCTGAGTATTCCTCAGGGAGCCATCACATTCTTCTGTGAAGCTCTCCTCACTTTATTAGAAATAAAATTGTGATTATGAGTCACTAACCAGCTGTTATGCAAGGATCGGCCGTTAAAGTTCAAGGTTGTACATCAAACCAGTCTTTTATTGGTACAGACGACATGTTCGTCTGATGCACGGTTAATAATAATGATGATTATTATTACAGTAATGATCCTTGCATTTAATATCACTCCTTACCACGTCGTTCAGACGTCTCAAAGCGCTTCACAGGACATATTATAAAGTAGATGGACCGTATATTTTGCGGGCGAAACGCGGCAGCCAGTTGCGCAAACGGCAGCCTCCCCACAAACAGTCGTGGATTGAATTAACCAATTTTTTTTTTAAGGGATTATTAACCGCTGAAAGCGATCCGCCAATCGACTAACAACCAGGTTCCCACTTACTGCTGGGTAAACGGAGGCGTGAGGAGTCAGGGGCGTGTGGCTAAGGTTTTGCCTCGCCTGGGAATCGAACCCGGGTCCTCTCGCTCGAGCAGAGAGCGCTCTTTCCAATACCCAACCGGACTGCACAAAAGAAATGGGGATTTGCAAAGCAATCACTGTATTGCCTTGTTGCACTGTGTGCCTATTTATCACTCACATCGCCCAAGCTGGTCTCTCCCTTATTGGTACGGAGGCAACACGATGTAGCCCTCTCTATAACACGTGCCTTTCCTGCTGTTCAAAGACACCAAAGTGGTTCCATTAGGGCTCCGGTCTCCTTCACTGCCACTTGTGTTCGTGTCGTCAGCCTGAAGGCAGAGAGCGTTGAGCGGTTACAAAGGATTGCTTACGACAGCTTCGAATACTAATCGTTCTTTGCAGCTGTCGAACTCGTCCATTAAAGGGCCAACGAGAGTCGTTCCTTGATCGCGAGCGAGGCCTGATTTTGTTTTTTTTCCTGAAAGAATCGTCTAGTTTTGACGGACGTCAGTCATGGAAATACGCAGAGCTTTACACGTTCAACGTAGGTTTGGTCGTAAGAGTGTGGTCGTAAATGTTACTCTTATCGTTTTCCCCCTCGACAGTATATTCTGTGAAGCGCTTTGAGACGTCGCAATGACATGATAAGACGCTACATCAAATGCAAGGATTATTATTATTATTATTTTTATCATCGGCTAACTCAGTACAGACCAGAAATTAAACGCCTTGGGACGTCCTCCCGCCGTGAAAGGCGCTCTATAAGTGTAATTTTGTTCTTGTTGTAAACCTCTTCTTGATCTCAGTGATTTAATTCTACATTTTTTTTTTTGCCGGTAGAAATTCACAACCCGCTTTTGAGCCTTTGCCGCCAAAGCTGTTTGAGCAAAAATTCAACACACGGTACAGTAATTAAACGCATTCTCAGCCTCTGAATGTTAATTACTTTCCGAAGCGGTTTACAGTGGTGTCAAACTGAAGCCGTTTGTTCTGCTTCCCGAAGTCAGTTCACTTCGAGGTAATCCTGAAAGTTCCCTGAAAAATAATAATCCTCGGATTTGGCCTCGTGCCTTTCAACCTCGGGCGGGCATCTCAAAGCGCTTCATGGGAATTAGTGGAGGCTTGTATCTCAGTGGTTGGAGCGCTCGCCTCGCAAGCGAGAGGACCTGGGTTCAATTCCCAGACGGGACAAAACTTTGGGCCAAGTTTTGTTACTCCAAACGTCGCTGTTTCCCCCGCAGTAAGAAGGAACCTGGTTGTTGTTTGATTGGATTGGCAGATCGCTTTCCTGGGGTCATCATCCCATGTGGAGTCCTGCGGCTCAGCGGTTAGAGCACTCGCTTCGCAAGCGAGAGACCTGAGTTCAATTCCAGGCCAAACCTCGGGCAAGTTTCCTGACTCCACACAGAGCCTAATAACAATCGCTCCAATACCCAAAACAATAATAAAAATTGGTCATTTTCAATCCACGACTGTTTGTGGGACATTGCTGTGCGCAATTGGCCGCCGCGTTCGCCCACAAATATACAGTCAATTCACTTTACAGTGTGTTCTGTGTAGCGCTTTGGGACGTCCTCCCGACGTGAAAAGCGCTATATCAAATGCGAGGATTATTATTATTGTTATTATTATTATCCCATCCCCTCCCCCCCTCCAAAAGAAATTCGGTCGCTCAATCCACGACTCTTTGTGGGACTGCGCTGTGCGCAATTGGCTTTATGTTATATTCTGTGAAGCGCTTTGAAGACGTCTTGAAGACATGATGAGGCGCTCCATCAAATGCAGAGATGACTATTATTATGTCCGCCGCCCTTTGCGTAATTTAACTTATTGGTTTAGAGGGTTTTAACCCTTTGCCTTCTGCCTTTGTTATTACAGGTGAAAGTAAGACATGGCAACCAGTGCTGTGCCCAGTGACAATCTCCCCACGTACAAGCTGGTGGTGGTGGGCGACGGAGGTGTGGGGAAAAGTGCCCTGACCATCCAGTTCTTCCAGAAGATCTTTGTGCCGGATTACGACCCGACCATTGAAGACTCTTACTTGAAGCACACGGAAATCGATGGACAGTGGGCCATTTTGGATGGTAAGGCGCATGTCGTATGTGATACTACTACTACTAATAATAATAACAATACTTTGTGTTTGATGCAGGCCCCTTATCACGTTGTTGAGACGTCTCAAGAGCGCTTGACGAGAATACACTGTAATTGCTTTGGCTGTGTATTTTGTGGGCCAAACGCGGCAGACAATCGCACACAGCAGCGTCCCCACACGTGGGTTGAGTGACCAAATTGTTATTATTTTTAATGAGGTACACTACAAGATATACTGCACCACATGGGGGGCAGGGGTGGGGGCGGGGGCGGTAAGTGAGGGATTAAACCCTCAACCTTCTGACTGAAAGGCCAACACGTCGGCGACTGAGTCGAGACATATTTCTGTCGAGAAATATTGCAGATTGGAACCCGACTCTCTCCAAATCACAAACAGCAAAGGGGTAGGGGACGAGGTGGAGGGACTCTGGGATGGAGCAGCTGTGACCATCCTCTACGTGATGGCCAATTGGTCACGTAGGCCTTGGCGCGCTGCCTGCTTTCTATCGTGGCTGTAAGCACTTCACACTCACGCTTGCTTATCACTGGAACTGCTTTCTACCCTTTAAGGCACACTATTGAGGTTCACTGAAGCTCAGTAGACTCCTTTTGCAGGCGGTCGGGAAGGGTGTGGCGAGTGATAGCACAGTTGCAACGAACCTTTGACCAAGGCCAGCGTCGGAGATAAGGAAGCTTTCTGAATTGGCTTCCCAAGTTCGGGATTGGGCTCACATCTAAGCCACGTGATTCTCTCTGTGATATCTCCTGTGAATCTGGGCAAACAATAAAAATCACGTACGTGTACATAATCACAATAATAACAGTAATAATAAAGCTTGCATTTGATATAGCGTCTTATCATGTTCTGAAGACATCCCAAGGCGCTTCACGGGAGATGTAACTTGTAGACGGATTCAGCGACCAGTTTGCGCAAGCCAATGCCCCACAGACAGTCGTGGAGTGAGCGATCCATTTTCTTTTGGGGGATTGTTGGCCAGGATACCGGGCGGGGGGCGGAGAGAGAGAGAGAGAGAGAGAGAGAGAAACTCCCTTCTCTTCTCGAACAAGGCAGAGTCTGGACAGCCTACTATTATCGCACTGAATGTGCCAACCGCACTTCTGATATATAGCGGACGCCGACATAAGAGAGATCTGATTCGTGCAAAGGAGGATTTACAGAGCGTTGCACTGAATCACTAACCTCAGGAAATCGCACGGTGCTTCCAATGGAAATGCCTAGCAACCGGTCTCACTAACCCTAGCAACCAGGCTCCGACGCCTTATCAACCAACCCGCGACGCCTTAACAACCATCTCACGAGGTCCTAGCAACCAGACCACGATGCATGCCATAGCAACCAACCTTGCCATAACCCTAGGATCTGTGCCATAAGCCCCAGAACCGGCATGTCAGTCTGGCAACCGGCCCACAAAACCCCAACGCCTCCTGAGCACCCGCATAAAGGCTTGGTCTCAAACAAATAATCTCCGCAGTTCCTCATGATCTTTCTCCCACAAAATACACAGTCGCTGTGAAGCGCTTTGAGACGTCTCAACAACGCGATGAGGTGCGATGTCAAATGCGAGGATTATTATCATTATTGTTTTAGTATTTCTTGATATTTGGGCACTTGGTTGATTTTTAGTTATTCGTTGACTTGTTACTCGTTAGATAAGAGGATATAGGCTTCTCTTGTAGTGCGACGCCGTGATCTTTAACGTCCACCGAACACAACAACAGCAACACTCACTCCAGCTATGCCTTGGAGTCTTATCTCAGCCAGCGATCCTCCAGAAGAGTTTGGTCGTTTGCTTCCTGGCTGCTTGTGGGGAAGGACCTTGCTTATTTGCAAATTGACTGCCACATTCCCCGAAAACTATACAGCCATTGCACTCAACAGCAATTACCGTGAAGTGTCTCGACGTAATTTGGCTCTGTATCAAATGCAAAGATTTTGCGATCTATATCCAAATAGTTCACGGTTTGTGGGGGCAAGTGACTAGGATTCCACTCCCCTTCCAGAAAACCTCAGGCATATTTATTTCCCTTTTATTCCCATTACTCATGCGTACTTCCCTTACTGGCAGTGTATTCTCAGGAAGCCAAAGTAAAATTACTGACATGACTCATGATTGCAAGGCACGCTGCTATGTTTCCTATCAGGACCGGAGTTCAGTGTTTCAGTCAGCGACGTGATGAGTGCAATCTGCTTAACGTATCTCACATGGTCGATGTGAAATTCCTCTGTGGAGCAAAGTAATATGCCCCGTGTGTTAGTCGCGGTAACGGCAGAGATGAAGCACGAAGGTTAAAGTCGCCAGCGCTTTCCGTTCCCCCACTAATCCTCGTCCCTTGTTGTTATTATGATGAGGCTCATAAATAACGATTTGCATTATTACGTGGCCGTTCGTGTAAAAATAAAAAGGCCCATTGCGCCTCGCAAAACAGATTTGATGACAAAATGAAACTGAATGCGGTCATATATAACAATCCTTGCATTTCGCATAGCGCCTTTGACGTCAAGAGGACATGTCAAAAGTGTTTTTGCTGCGTTTTGCACGTAGACGATAGCAGCGGCCAATTTACGCACAGCAACGTCCCCAAAACCAGCCATGAAGTGAAAGTGTTTTTTTATATATATCTGGGGAATTGTCGGTCAGGACACCGAGAGAGAGAGAGAGAGAAACTTCCTTCTCTTTTTCACCCCAAATAGCGCCTCGGGATCTTTCACGTCCACCCGAACAGGCAGACGGGGCCTCAATTTAACGTCTCATCCGAAGAACGGCACCTCTGATGATGGAGCACTCCCCCAGTGTCAACTGAGATAGAGTTGTCTGAGTCCGAAGGTCTGATGTTGAACTCAGAACTTTCTGACTCAGAGGCGAGAGTGTTATCAACTGAGTCAGGCTGGCACCTGTTCTTCCAGCAACTGCGAGGTCAATTTAGGCAATTGCTGAGTTCATCTGATCACAGTCTGCCAGTGCGAACAAGATATTAATCTCTGTACTGAAGGAATCAGACAGTTATATAGAGCCCAGGACAATCAGTGGTGAGATTGTGGCAGCGAGGGAAAGTGTGTGTGTGGGTGCGGGCGAGTGCATGGTCTACGTGTGTTTGTGTGTGTCTGTGCGTGTGTGCGCATGTCTGTGTGTGTATCCGTTTATGTGTGTTTGTGTGCATGCGCATGTCTGTGTGTGTGTGTCTGTTTATGCCTTCGTTGCCTTCGTTCCTCCGGGTCTGGCCTCCTCCTCGTCCCCCGAGTCCTCCGCTCCACCCTCGGCGGCCGTGCCTTCAGCCACTGTGCCCCGAGGCTCTGGAACTCCCTTCCTCACTCCCTTCGCCTCACCCTCTCTTCCTATGTTCAGGTCTCTGCTGAAGACCTTTCTTTTCGGCCGCGCCTTTGGTCACCTTCCCCCCCTCCCCCTCCCCCCGGCTCGGCCCCCGGGACCCGTTACTGTGAAGCTCTGAGACGCCGTCCGGCGTGGAGGGCATTATATAAATCCAAGTTGTTGTTGTTATGTGTGTTGTGTGAGTGTGTCTGTTTATGTGTGAGTGTGTGTGAGTGCATGTCTGTGTGTGTATCTGTTTATATGTGCGTGTGTGTGTGTGTGTGTATCTGTTTATATGTGCGCGTGAGTGCGTGTGTGTGTGTGAGTGCATGTCTGTGTGTGTATCTGTTTATATGTGCGCGCGTGTGTGTGTATCTGTTTATATGTGCGCGTGAGTGCGTGCGCGTGAGTGAGTGTGTGTGTTGAGTGCGTGTCTGTGTGGGTATCTGTTTATATGTGCGCGTGTGTGCGTGTGTGTGTGTGTGAGTGCATGCCTGTATGTGTACCTGTTTATGAGTGTTTGTGTCTATCTGTGTGCGCGTGTGTGTGTATGTCTGTGTGTGTATCTGTTCACGCGTGTGTGTGTGTGTTTGGCAGGAGGGAGAATAGATTATTGACTGGCCACAAGCTCTAAGCCTCTGGCTGCTTAGTGGACCAGCTGTTCTAAGATGACCCTCTGTGATCCTGGTGATATTAAGATGTCACGTGTCGTTGATGCACTTACTGATGCATTAGCTTTTGTTCAGTAACCTGTGCGGTGACCAGGTTTAGTCGCGATTTGGTTGTGAAGTTCAAATCAGTTCGCACCAAGTCCGTCTTCTTAAAGCACAGGTTTCATACTTGGCGACCGCATAGGGCTCACATCTATGTTGTATTTATGCTGCAATATAATATGTATATTATGCATAGTCCAGCTTCATGGTCGCTCCAGTGTAGCATTGAGGGAGGGTTGCAATGTTGGAAGCTCCATGTGTCAGATAATAATAATGTTAATAATAATAATGACAATAATAATCCTTGTGTTTGATGTAGCGCTTTATCATGTCGTTGATATGTCTTAAAACTCTTCACGGGATATTTTGTAAAGTGGAGTGACTGTCCATTTGGTGGGTGAACCGCGGCAGCCAATTGAGCACAGCAGCGTCCCCACAAACAGTCGTGGGTTGAGTGACCAACGTATTATTATTATATATTTTTTGAAAGCACTATTACCCCCAATAAAGCGATCTGCCAATCGACTACCAACCGGGTTCCTACTTACTGCTGGGTAAACTGTGGACTAAGAAAACTTGCCTCAGGTTTGGCCCTGCCCGGGAATCGAACCCGGATCGACTCGCTTGCGAGGCGAGTGCTCTAACCAATAGTTTACAGGGCTCCACAGATGAGATCTTAAACTGACCTTCTTTCCTGCCTTCTTAGGCAGCCGTCAAGGATCTCGTGTGACAAAAATAAAAACAACTTGCATTTATATAGTGTCCTTTACTCTGGGTAACGGCTTGAAATGTTTAACGATGGCGTAGTCTGAAGCTTAGTTGGGGGGGGGGGGAGAGAGAAGTTGACCGTAGGTACGATCAAAGAGAAAAGTCTTTAGGTGTGATCTGAAGACAGGCAAAGAGGGGGGTGGGGGAGAGGCAAGGATTGAGGCAGAGGCTGAAAGCACAGCTGCCGATGGTGGATCGGAGGGATCGAGGGACGTGAGGAAAGAGGAACAAGAGTTTTTAGAAAGAGGAAAGGGTGCTTCACCCTGGGTCCCAGCCAACATAAGAACATAAGAAATGCTAGACGAGAAAAGACCAAGGTCCATCTAGTTCGCCTTCCACCTTCCTGGCGGTCGCCTGCACATGTGTCCCAAAGTCCCTATGTACTGTATATCCCATCATGTTATTTCCCAAAAGAAAACTACCTAATCAGTGGTTGAAGGAATCGACACTTCCTGCTTCAACCGTCTTCCTAGGGAGCCTGTTCCACAGGTTCACTATTCGCTCACTGAAATAGTGTTTGCGTAGTTTCGTTCTGAATTTCCCCCCTTCAATCGCAGGCTGTGTCCTCTGGTTCTACTATTCTGAACAAGTTGAAACAGCCTGTCATGATCTATATTGTTTTGCCCCTTTAGAATCTTATAAACAGCATTCATATCACCTCTCAATCTTCTCTTCTCCAGCGTGAACATGTCCAATTTACTTAGCCTCTCCTCATAGTCGCCCTCTATTCCCTCAATCATTTGGGTTCCAATTGGCCCAAATGAATAAGCCATTCACCCCATGTCCTTAACAAATGTCATTGATAACACGTTCATAGCAAAATGAAGTCTTCGCTCTTCCAACCCTCCCTCCCCCGCCAGTCCCTGTGGAAATCTGACCAACTACATCAATAGTATTGGATTGTGTTAGAATAATTTGGAATCCCCACCAAACAGCTGTTGAGAGAACATTGAGTTCATGTTATGCTTGGCGTCTTATCAGACCTCACAGAAGTGGAAGGCAATCTGTGCAACCGGCAGATTGACAAACTGGACCAAAAGGGTGGTGGATTCCTGCAGCCTACCGTCTTATACAGTGAAAGGCGCATAAGTCCGATCTGTATAAAACGTATGATCGCCTAAATCGTACATCTGCCCAAATCCCGTTCACGAATTCATATGCGAGTCCTGTAGCTCAGTGGTTAGAGCCCTCGACTGAAAGCGAGAGGACCCAGGTTCGATTCCCGGGCGAAACGTTGGGCGAGTTTCCTTACTCCACACCTCACGGTTTCCCAAGCAGTAAGTAGGAACCCGGTTGTTAGTCGATTGGCGGATTGCTTTCCGAGGGTAATGACGTCAATGATGTCTCAATGCAAGGATTATTGTTACTATCGTTGTGTATCTGGGGGCAATAACCCCTTTTTTAAAAAAAATTGGTCACTCAATCCTTCACTGTCTGTGGGACACTGCTGTGCGCAATTGGCCACCATGTTCCGCCCACAAAATCTACAAGTCATTCCACTTTACAGTGTACCCTGTGAAGCGCTTTGAGGCATCGCAACGATGTGATAAGGTGTTATATCAAATGCAAGGATTATTATTATTATTGTTATGATACCCTTCTGTTCCCTTCTCCCGCATGCGAAGATCTGACTTCCTCTTGAACGCACCTTGAATGGGAGTTGCAAGGATTGTAATTGTAATAATTATGATGATTATGACTTATTGAGCCTATGCTCGAGTTGGCTGCATCGGCCTTGATGTGTGTTTTTATCAATACTCTTTTGTCCTCGCTCGCTCGCTCGCTCGCTCCAGTGCTGGACACGGCGGGTCAGGAGGAGTTCAGTGCTATGAGGGAGCAGTACATGAGGACTGGCGATGGCTTCCTCATCGTCTTTTCGGTCACAGACAAAGCCAGCTTCGAGCACGTCGACAGGTTTCACCAGTTGATCCTCCGAGTCAAAGACAGGTGAGTCTGCTCATTAAATAACCCTCCCCCCTCTTCCTTCAGAATTACCTGCAGTTACCCAAACGCAAACGACATGGTAAAACAGGTCATTCGACCCAACCAGTCAGTGACGGTGTTTATACTCCACCCGAGCCCCCACACCCCTCTCCGCCCCTCTCCCACCCCCCTCTACTCCCCTCTCGCACACCCCTCTACGGAATCCTGCACCGCAGTGGTTAGAGCTCTCGCCTCGCAAGCGAGGGGACCCGGGTTCGATTCCCTGGCGCGGCAAAACCTTAGGCAAGTTTCCTTACTCCACACACGCGCCTCTGTTGGCCCAGCAGTGAATAGGAACCCGGTTGTTAGTCGATTGGCAAATCGCTTTCCGGGAGTAATCACCCCTTCAAAAAAATAAATCGGTTAATACAATAATAATAATTTGGCCACTCGAACCATGACTGTTTGTGGGACGCTGCTGTGCGCAACTGGCTGCCGCGTTTCGCCCACAGAATATACAGGGCTCCACGTACCAGCTGGGCTTCCCCAGGCTTGTGGTTGTCTAATGGCTGTTTCTGTCTCTTTGTTGCAGGGAGTCTTTTCCGATGATCTTGGTGGCCAACAAGGTTGACCTGGTCCATCTGCGGAAGGTCACCAGCGAACAGGGAAGAGAGATGGCGGCGAAGTACAATGTACGTCTGGCAGAGCATTCCATAATAATAATCGTTGCATTGTTCGTTACAGTGCCTTGTCACATTGTCGAGGCATCTCCCAAGCCCCACACAGGACTTACTGCAAAGTGTAGTGACCGTGTGTATTTTGTCGGCAAAACGCAGCAGCCAATTTGCACACAGCAACGTCCCACAAGCAGCCCTAGGGTTTCGCCCGCAAACTACACAGTCAATTCGCTTTACAGTATATTCTGTGATGCGCTTTGAGTCGTCTCGAAGACGAGATAAGGCGCTATAACAAGCGCAAGGATTATTATTATTTTGAGCGACTGAAGAGTTTTATTTCGGGGGGATTGTCGGTCAGGAAACTGGGAGAACCTGCCTTCTCTTTTCAAACGGTGCGGTGGGATCCTTATTCGCTTGAACAGGCAGACGGGGGGGACGTTTAATGTCTCATCCCAAGCATGGCACCTCTGACAACGCAGCCCATACACCCAGCACTGTATTGGAGAGCCATGATAGACTATATATGGGTTCCAAGTCCCTTCTCACTCGGGATTGAGAGTGCTAACGACACCTCGACGAATTTTTCCGGCTGAGCTCCCAGTAATGGCGGAGGAATCCATAACCAGGGGACGGCAGACCCGAAATTCCACCGAGTCTTAGCCCATAAGACCATTTAGCCTGTCCGATAATAACTCCCAAACTGCTTCAAAGAGAAATAACAATCATAATTTGGTCCCTCAAACCACGACAGTTTGTGGGACGCTGCTGTGGGCCTTTAGCTTGTTCAGCTGCCGCGGTTTGGCCACACAATTTACAGCCAATTCGCTTTGCAGTAGATGCTGTGAAGCACGTCTCGAAGATGTGCTAAGGTGCTACAGCAAATGCAAGAATTATTATTATTCCCTTTGGTGAAGTTCTGGAGATTTATTCAACAGCAACAGCCAATGGCGTTTATATAACACCTCTCACGTCAGGACAATTCAGCAGTTATTCATCATAAAATCTCTCTCCTTTTTTTTTTGCTGTTCTCTTCCTCTTGCTAGATACCTTACATAGAAACGAGTGCCAAGGATCCACCGCTGAATGTTGACAAAGCTTTCCACGACCTTGTCCGTGTCATAAGGTGAGTGCTTGAAACTCGATAAGACTGCGGATATCAGTGGCAGAGCTTTATGGGTTGTGTGTGAATTACAGAGAATCTCCAAAGCTCAGATGCTTCGCCGACACATTAAATGAAAGGATAATATTTATAGACTTTGAACTTGTTTTTTTATCTCCCTCTCAAAGAACCTTTGGGACAAGGGACCTCGCGAAAGTCTCGCAAATGTTGTTTTTAAAAGATTTGGGATTGAATGTGGGAGAGTTGTTCCCAATGGGGAGGGATTCCAGATATCCCAGGTCACCGCACAGCGCAGCAAGGGGTTAGATGCGGAGTAAAACTCCTTCCACTTGGCCCCAACCTCAAAGGAACGTTTATTCTCCCCAGAGAGCTAACTGTTCCCTGCACGCACGCAAACCCCCTTTTCCACATGTGAAGGATAAAGGAACAGAGGAGCATGAGAGAGGGGACTGGGAGGAATTCATCTGGGGAAAAAAAACACAACGATAGTAGCAATAATCCTTGCATTGAGACATCATTGACGTCATCAGCCCCGGAAAGCGACCCACCAATCGACTGACAACCGGGTTCCTACTTACTGCTGGGGAAAACAGAGGCGTGTGTGTGGAGCGAGGAAACTTGCCTAAGGTTTCGCCCCGCCCGGGAATCGAACCCGGGGCCTCTCGCTTGCGAGGCGAGTGCTCTTAACCACTACCCCACAGGACTGCTTTGCCCTCTAGTTCCACACCCCATCTCCTAATCGTCAGTAGTATCTTTCAACAACAACAAATTGCATTCGCACAGCGCCCGGGCTGCGGGTTGGGATCAGAGAGGTGGGGTGGTGGAGGAGGGCAAGGGCGGAGGGGAGGGAGGGAGTGGAGGAGGGAAGATGACTGAAGGCAAGGTCGAAAAGAATGGTCTTGAGATGGGCCTTGAAGGAGGCCAGTGGAAGGGGGTGGGGGAAAGGGGGGCAGGCGGAGGGACTCAGGCAGAGGAGGGAACGGAGAGTGCGATCGTACGTGAGTGTTAACATTGAGACGTTGCTTCCGAACAGGCAACAGATACCAGAGAAAAGCCAGAAAAAGAAGAAGAAAGCCAAATGGCGCGGGGACAGGACAGCTGGCTCAAACAAACTGCAGTGTTCAGTGATGTGATCCACCTCCTAACGCCTGATCGAAAGCCGCTAACGTCAATAGGAGCGATGGAGCCAATGCTAACTTGCGTACCGCTGCGGAAGGCTACACAGGGAGCCTTCAAGACTGCGTGCGGGTGGCTAACTGTGGCAGTCAGTGTTGTGTGCGGAGGTCACTTTAACCCCCAACTCGCTCCACCGTGGAGTACGATTGCACTCTTGGCGATGAAGGACAGTGTGTGATGCTCAAGAGGTCCGGCTGACCTTTTTGTTGCCTTTGGGCTCAGATTGGCCGAGAAGAGTCTGTTCTTGGCCTTTTTCTTTCTTGTTCTTTCTTTTCTTTTCCTTCCTTTCTTTTCCTTCCTTTCTTTTCTTTCTTTTCCTTTCTTTCTTTCTTTCTTTCTGTCTGTCTCTTCTCTGAACTCATCGCTTCCTCTTCCCCCTTTGAAGTCGAGGATCAAAATCGTTGCACAGGATCAAACAGCCATGTCTGCTCCAACTCATAGTGAGGAACCATTCCATTTGGCCTTGGGTAGAACAGTGCAGTGAATGTCTCTGGTTCCCTCTCTCTCTCTCTCTCTCTCTCTCTGAGTCTATCAGCGATGTTACGACAGACAACTGGACTGAAGGAAAGGCATTTTGGAACGCGAATGGGAGAATGCAATCCACCTTCGCACGTCCCAGGCAACAGGACGAACTTACAATCCTCGAACCGAACAAGTGCTACTTTGCAACCACCGCCTCCCATGAAGAAGAAAGCCTTTGGGTTACTTAATTGAGGCGGTCAACCCTTGGTGCACTACGAACAACAACACATTACGTTTACACAGAGCCTGCCTTTCACGTCGGGAGGAGGTCCCAAGGCGCTGGACGGTCAGGGATTTGGATCCGAGCTGGGGGTTGGGATCACCTCGAAATGGGGGTGCCTTACCTTGCAGATAGATGTGTGGTGTGTGTGTGTGTGTGTGTGGATGTGGAGGCAGATGGAAGTTGGGGGTGGGGAGGGGGAGAGGGAGGTGGAAGGGAGTTTAAAACACCCTGATCTCCTCTCCCCCTCTAATTGGCGAGAAATCAACTTTTTTCTACATCGTTAACCCTGGGTTGTTGTTGTTGTTGTTGTCGTGGTCTCTGATATCCCGCGAGGAACCTATTTTGGTGCCTCCGCAATGAAGGGATTCTGTACTGAGTGATCAATAAGCTCCCTATCAAGTCTCACTTGTGTTGGTACATGCTCCCTTTTCTCTCCCCCACCCCACCATCTCTCTTTCTCTCTCTCCTCCTCCACCTTCCCAACCTCCCAGATTACTGCAAGCGCTCATCTGCATCAGTGCGGTCCAACTGGCGGCCCGGGGGCCGCATCCGGCCCTCGAACCATTTCCAACTTTGTTGTCTGACGAGCAAGTGCAGGTGACGCGCAGGCCCCGAGCCAATCAGGAGCTGGACACCGGGGGGGGGGGAGAGGGGATCAGGGTCCGCCCGGTAACGGGACTGGCCGATCAGGATAGCATCTGGCCCTCAGCTGCCCAAAAGGTTGGACCGATCCCCTGCTCCTCATCCCAATCTACATCAACAACAACAACAGCATGTATTTATTCAGCGTCCTTCACCCAGGGCTAGTGCCTCGGGCCCTCCTACACCCAATGGTGCAAGCGCCCCCCTCTCCCACCAACCCCAGCTGAAGCCACAGCGGGCAAGTTTACAAGAGGGACTTGGTGGGAAAATTTCTCCGATCGCAAGCACCTCTCTGCGGTATTTTCTGTTGATGTTTGAATGGCTGTAGTGAAGAGACACGAGAAGAGGAGGGGTGGGGGGGGTTATTTGCGGTGTGTACGTTACCTGATGGAAGCAGTCATGAAAACGGGACTGAGAAGGTCTCAACACCCCCCTTACCTCCCATCCCGAGCACCAGCTCACCTCCCCTTGTAACCTGGAGATAGAAAATGGGTTTATTGATCAACGGCCTCTAATTCGGAACCCTGCATTACCCTGAACGATGTCTTTGCCTTGAGAGTAAGCCCTGGGGGAGATGGAAGGCCAATGAGGGCTATTTAACGATCAATTGCCACTGAGCGAGCCAGACGATACATTGTGGTGGTGAGGGAGGGTGGTGAGGGTAAGCTCTGGGTTCCAGGGACGTTCTAAGGCCCACATATTCCATCGGCCAGAATGGATCTCAGCGCTACAGAGAGGTGCTTTGAATGATTTGCGCTCGATTGGGCCCAACTCGTTCGGCCGGCAAACCTCTCCAGGTAGCGTGTCCGTTTGCTCGACCCTTAAGGCCTAGCTGGTCGCTTTTTTGTGTGCGTGTGTGTGTTTTTATACACACACTTTTACGGCTGTTTGTGTGGGACCGTTGGCTTGACCGCGGTTACTTGTCAAGCATCTCGGGAGATGCTCTCGCGCTATCGGCGCCGTGTCAAACGCAAAGGAGCTGTGTGATGGGCGGGAGGTGGGGTGGGGGGCACCTTGTATATTAGACGGTAGCTTCGGGGTTTTACCGCAGTGGAGTAAAGCGAGAATGCTCCTCGCACTTTAGTGCTGGTCGGATTCGCTGTATTATGTGATTACGGGCGGCTGGAACAGTTGGCGCAACTGAGTCTGGTTACGATGTACAGAGAGAGATCCCATCGTTGACCCCAGTGACCTCAACTCTCGTACCAATACCTTTTTTGTTTAGCTCCCTCCTTCATTTTTTTTGCTCTCCCCTCCTCTCCTGTATGTGCCGACTCTTGCTAAGCTACGTTCCTCGGGCTCCCTTCAGCGTCTCGCAGGAAGGGCTGCGGGTCACCCGAAAGCCCGGCGCGGAGCGTAACGGCAGACAACGACTTGCATTTCCCGCAGCGCCACAGAGCGCTTGACAGTGGCGGGGCGTGGCGCTGGGGGTGGGGGCAGGTGACGGTAGGCACGGTCGAAGAGGAAGGTCCTCAGGCGCGACCCGAAGACGGGGAAAGGACGAGAGCAAGGGAGAGGGAGAGCGCGAATGGAGTTTCGGGGAGTCCAGGGAAGAGCGCGTTGAGTCAGAATGGCTTCTGTTTCGCTCCAAACAGTGGTAGCGATCACCGACTGAGCCCCATATTCGCGGAGATACTTGGAACAAATTCTGCGCACGTACTCAGGCATTCAATTGTTCGCAGTTTTAACTGGAATCGTCCCGTCGGCTCCCACCCCCCCCCCCACACTTTTCCCACGAGTATGTAACTCCATAGAAAATAAATGAAAACAAAAGTTCTGGATTCACAGGATAGTTACAGCCTCACTGTGTCCGTTTGCTCGACCCTTAAGGCCTGGCTGGTCGCTTTGGAAGGGAGTCCGGTAGCGAGTGCTCAAGAGCGCTCGCCTCGCAAGCCAGGGGACCCGGGTTCAATTCCCGGACAGGGCAAAACCCTTAGCAAGTTTCCTTACTCCACACAGCTCTGTTTACGTAGCAGTAAGTCGGAACCCGGTCGTTAAGTCGATTGGCGGTTAATAAACCCTCCAAAAGTAAATCCCCGACTGGTTTGTGTGTGGGGGACGCTGTTGCTGTGCGCAACTGGCGGCCGCGTTTCGCCCACAAAACACGCAGGCGATTCACTTGACGGTGTGCATCCCGCAAAGGTTCTTACTGCCATCGAGGAGGAAACGTAACACAGTGCCGGTAAAGTGTTAACCCAAGAAGCACATGAAATGCACTCGCTCTGAAGCTAACCCTTGGCCAAGACAACACAATTGCCCGCTACTCGGCTCTATTGATTGATTCGGGGGGTGGGACGGGGTTTTGGGGGAGGCGAGAGGAGGGTTTTTTGGAGATTTAATTCTGCGATGAATGGTATCGTGACTTTTGAGTCGCGGTAAAAAACACAGTTGTTTTAAACGTGGTGTAAGATTTTAATAAAATTCTAACTGGAAACCGTGCCCTTGGAGTTAGTCGGTGGAGACGAGGAGCTCAACGAACATTTTATAGGGTCTCCTGTCATTTGATCGTTAAAAGTTTACAACAACAAGCTTTGATATGGCTCCTTTTCGCACGGAATAATTCGCCAACAAAATACACAGTGAAATCACTTTACGATATATTCAGTGAAGCGCTTTGAGGCGTCTCAATGACGTGATAATTGATGTGATGAGGCGCTATATCAAATGCAAGGATGACTATTAATAATAATATGAATAACAATATCTTGGAGCGCTTTACAGCGAGCCAGGAGAGAGGGGGGGGGGGGGGGGTGAGGTGAGCACAGGCACGGTCCAAGAGTTTTAAGGTTTTCTAGAAATTTCCTAAAAGACGTGGTTTCAAGATGAAAGTCTGCGTTTAAAAAAAAAAATACAATTGCCAAATTCTGGGCATTCCAGAAATGTGATATATAAATAGAATAACTCCGCACTTGCATCATAGCATCGTTGCCAACAAAATGCACAGTCACCACAATTTACACAATATTCTGTGAAGCAACCTTGAGATGTTCTCCCGACGTGAAAGGCGCTGTATCGAATCCAAAGGATATTATTACTATTGTTGGAGTCTGGTAGTGTTTAGAGCGCTCGCCTACAAGTGAGGGGACCTGATCCCCAAGTAAGGCAAAACCTTTGGCAAGTTTTCCACGCCTCTGTTTACCGAGCAGTAAGCAGGAAGCCGGTTGTCAGTCCATTAGCAAAATGTTTTCCGAGGCTAATAATCCCTTTAAAATACAATAATAATTTGGTCACTCGATCCACGACTGTTTTGTGGGGGCGCTGCTGTGCGCAATTGGCTGACCGCGTCTCGCCCGCAAAACATACAGTGGCTTCACTTTCCAGCGTATCCCGCGAAGCGCTTCGAGACGCCTCAACCGCGTGATGAGGCGCCGTATCGAATGCAAGGATTAGTGTTCCCATTTCCCCATTGGGCGGTGTCCGTTTCTTTGCTTCGAAGAGACGCCCAGAAAAAAAAAAAGGGGGCTCGGGGTATGCGAGTGAGCAGGAGAACGCCAGCCTGTTAATTATTCAGCGAGAGCGTTCAACAAAATGTTCTGAACTTGCAGTTCTCTTAAAAAAAAAGAATACCCCGAGCCAGTTTGACAGCAGAATCTCCATAGCAACATTGCAAAGCTCTCGTGTTTACACTGGTAGATTGGGATTGAGCTGTATTTGTGTTAAGAGTTCTTTTAGCAATCGACCTTGCGCTGGGTCGGGGAGATTGGAATGGGGAACGTTGAACAAAAAAAAAGTTCAGTTTATATCCCGAAAGTCTTGTTATTCGAGCATCTCACTACAAATGTGTCTCACGCGCTCTCTCTCTCTCTCCCCTCTCTCTCTCTCTCTCTCTCTGAGAAATTGCCACGTTCGTTCATTTTCAGCCATCTGCGGCGTGCCAGGCTGGAAATCCTTCAAGGTCCTCGCGAAG